ACACAGATTAGATCAATTGTTAGATGAAAAAACTGTTCTTGTTGCTGGATACTTTAATATAGATATACTTCCTTTGGAAAACATTATTAAAAATATAATATGTAAATTGTAAATAATCTTATAAGTGCCTATAATATGAAATTTACGATAAACGCCCACAAGAGTCACTGCTACTACATCAACCTGTCTAGATAAAATTTATGTAAATACGAGTAATTTTGAAAATTTGGAGGTTATTGTTTTAAATAGTAGGTAATATGTATATCTGATCATTTCGGACAAATCACCTACTTAGTATCTATGTGAAGTGTAACTCTTCTGACAGTTCTTATAGTCAAAAACTTTTTTTTTTTATAATTTGTAAGCTTACAATAGGAGTTCCTCAAGACAGTGTACTTGGACCAATTTAATTTTTATTATATGTTCACGATTTGACCAGTTTTGTAAATAACCCTAATATAATATTAACAAACTATGTAGATGATACCAATTTATTGGTAGTTGAAAAAGATTAAAATTTTATTAGAGATAAAACTGTTTCTAGCTTTTCTATTACTTTAAAATGGTTTCAAGACAATTCATTCCTAATAGACAATCGTAATGAAACTGTGTACCCAAAAGATTGAATAACAGTTTCATCCAATTTTCATCAAAAACTAAATTTTTATGCGTTACAACAGATGACCATATGAACTGGTCGGACCATGTAGGTACAACTTCTTTGTGGTAAACTCAGTGGAACTTGTCATTCCATAAAAGAATTAAAAAAACTAGTCAACAAATTACACTTGTAATAGCTTATTATGGAAATTTCTATTCTTTATTAATTTTTTGGAATGGTACATATACCTAGTCAAATTGTGTTTATAAAACAGAAGAGAGCAGTTAAAATTTTGTCTAACTTAAAATTTGGGGAAAGTTGCAGACGATTTTTTAGGTCATTAAATTTATTAACTGTTCCTACTTTGTATGTTTATGATAGTGGCGTAGCTATCATAGGGCAACTCGGTGCAAAGAAGATATTTGGGGCCCCGCAGGGGCTCTCTGATAATTATATAATTATTTTACTGTATTTAAATTCGTGATAATATTAAAAATACATGTTTATCAAATGTCCAAAAATTACAAAACGTTCTCAATCAAGATCGTTGGAGCCTCTTTTGATTTTTACTGAATTTTGTTCCATTAAAAATTAATAGGGAAAAGTGGTATATAGTGGGACATGATATACCTATAAGTGGGACAAAGCTCTCTAGTGCCTTCCACTGAACAGTAGATGCATTATTTATCTGTTACAGTGTACCTTCTATGCCAATCAAATTATGACCCAATGTATTAATCACAGATTTTACATTTATCTTCTGTGCTTTCACAAAATCGACTAGAGATGTTTTTTTCCCAAAAATTATCGATCTGAACTGTCATAGTTCAGATGTGGGGGAATGCTGGAATTTAAAAATAGTTACAGAAGAATTAAAAACTCATTTTGTATAAATTTAAAGTAGACCTGATTTACAATGTTGTATAAAAATATTACCCCCCCCCCCCATCCCCTAGAGGGCGAACGAGAGGGTGGCATCCTTAAACAATTAGGTTACAACTTTTTATGTGAAATTGTTAAAATTTACGATTTTTTTACATACATATTAAAAATTTCAAAATGATTTACAAAAATTTTCTTTCCGAACTACACTGTCAAAAAATTAAAAATTTTGTAGAAAAAATGTATTTCAACTGTTTCATTTAAAAAGTTCTAATTAAATTTTTTGGGCTGCCACCCCCTCCATCTTCCCCTAGGAGAAGAAGGATATAAGATTTTTATAAAGAAACGTTGTAAATGAGATCTATTAGAAATGTGCCAAAAATTAAATGTATATCTCCTCTGTAACTATTTTCAAATGCCAGCCAACTATGACATTTCAGGTCCAAACATATTTTTGGAAAAATATATGAAAAAAATTTAATTTTTGGTTTGTACGTATAAAAGTCATAGATTTCAATTGTTTTCTTGAAAAAGTTGTAACTGTATTTTTGAGGCTGATACCCCCTCCATACAAGCCTTGCAATTGCTTCATTTATTATGGTTTTAGGTCTATTTTATTTTCAGATTTTATTACTTGTGGATAATAATATGTTCCTATTATGTATTTTAAGTTTTTTTTTTAGTTTTTCATATTGTTACGCATATTTTTGGAATCTCAATTTATTTCAACTCAACTTTTACAATAACTATACAGCTGATAACATTAATGTATAACGTCTATCATAAAACCGACTGTCTGACGTCAGGATGACCGACTTATATAGCTCGATTTAACCTTCTAGAACCTTCGCGAACGTCCAGATGTTTCTTGACGTGGAATGACATTTCTCGACATTTCCCGGTACCTTGGATTTGCTTCCTGCTGATAGCCGAATGCGGTAGGTCATTGATTTTTCTCAGGAACGGTTTAGGGGCCTTCCCAGTTCCGTTGCAGTTTCTGACAGAGTCCTTCTCGGCGCTTGGGACTGCACAGCCATACTGGGTCGCCTCTCTCAAAATGTGTTCCGTGGGCACGTATTTCGATTTTAGCTTCTGCTTTGTCGCTGTTGACTTTTAGACGTTTCCGAGCAACTTCGTGTAGACCTTTGTTCTGCATTGCATACATCACATTTTTTACACCAATCCGCTATATCCCGTCGGCAATTGACCCAAAAACATCTTTCCCAAAATGTCCCCCCGAACGGTTGCTATGAAGCTCCTTCAACACACTTCTGACGTGATTTCGGCAGTACCACTTGGCGGGCTACATATACTCCATCGGGGCTCTCCCACTTCCGCTGCAATAGGCGATCGTGAAGATACAGGGAATCCCACCGAGTCCAGCACCCTTTAATAGCTCCACTGTATTTGGCTATCTCTTGCCAAGTAGGTGACGCTTTATTTTTGAGACATTCTCCGACAACCTTCAAGTTATTCTCTTTCTACTGCCCCTTTCTCAGGATTTCAAGGGTGATTTCTTCTTCGTCGCCCTATGATTAGATAGTGGTTGTCCGAAGAGTAACTTTATCAACCTCTCGTTCTTTTTACTGCCCTTTCATGTACCGGCATTCTCATTCTGGAGAGAATGTCTGCGTTGCTATAGAGACGGCCTCTACGATGCCCTACTTTCTGGTTATTGCTAAAAAGCTGGCTAGGTATGGGTGATCGGCTTCTCCGGGACGCATAGCTACTATAATTATTTGTTGTTGGATTTCGTGACGGGCTTCGGGACATTGATCTATGTGACTTTCTAGCCTCATTTCCTGATTCTTGATTTATAGAACGAGCATTGTTTCTGCAGGTCCTTTGAAGGTGCATGATTCCTGTTTCCATTTTGGCTTTTTCGTTGCATATTTTGCAGGATATTTAAGATTTGTGAGAGGGTAAGTTGGGGAATAGTATTAGTATTGACCTCTTCACTTTCCTGGGATCTAATTTCTCTCACTCTTGAGCGAAAAGATTTGGATAGGAGTTTTACCGCTTCATATTCCTATGCTGCAATCAATTTCTTCCTCAGCATCTTGTGATGTTGTCGACGAAGGATTTGCTGCATTTACACATCTTGTAGTCTATCAATGAATGCCTGTATTTCGATTTGTTCTTGGAAATCTTTAGGCGCCTGTGGATAGACAAGATGAATTAATTTTCTTATGTCGCCCTTGAATTCCTGTAGCATTTCATTATGTTTCTGACTACGAACCTTTAGCTAGCTTTGGAATACCCATTTCAAATGCTGCTGGCCATATCTTGTATCCAAAGCTTGAACGAGAGATAAATAACTGGGTTCTTCTTGGGGAAGCAACCGTAAAATGGTTGCTGCCTGTCCTTGCAGCGAAACTATCAATGCAGCCGCCATCTCTTTCTCGGTCCAGCCATTGCCTCTAGTTGCAGCTTCAAATTGGAGTCGATACGTTTCTCATGTTGTCTGACCGTCAAACGTGGGTGGATTAATGGTTTTGCCAGCATGGCTTTGTGAAACTGGATTTTGGATATGGCTTGGTTCGGTTATAGATGAGGATGAGGTAGTGTTCGCAGTTTCCCTGTTGCTTGCCAAAGCAAAGCTAAGAATTCGTTTTTCTAATTCAACTAGTTCAGTTCTAATTTTTAACTCTACTCTAGCTGTTTCTTGTTGTTTTAAATTATCTTGTTGTTGTGCTAAGAGATCTATTTGACTGTTTAGTTGACCTACCTCTTGCTCAAGGTTTTCTTGAATTTGTAGCAAACCATTCATAATTTCTACCTCAGCTTTTCTACGCCTCTCTCTTTTCATCGTCCTTCCGGCGCCTTTCCTTCTCCTCTTCTCGCTTTTCCTTTTCCTCCACTTCTTTCTTCCTACACATTTCCTGTTCCTTCTCTTCTTTCTACGTTTCTCCTTGTCTTCTCGCCTTGTTCTCTCCTCCTCTTCTTCCTTTCTATGCCTTTCCTTTTTCTCCTCTTCTTAGTTCATTTATTATATAAATTAGTAAAATTCATAAATAATTCTTAAATTCCTTATTGTGTCTTAAATCCTAAAATATTTTTTAAAATTTTTAGATTTTCGTTAATTGGTCGTAGAAAAAATATGTACAGTGGATTGTCGGTATGGCCATCATATCCACTCTTGTTGCACAAACGATTACTTTCATATTGAATAACAGTTTAAAACGCAGAACTAAAACATCGTAAAATATTTACAGGAGGATTGTATTTAAATTTGGGTCAAAAAATTAAAAGAAATTAGTATAGATTAGTAATTAAGTTAAAAAATTGAGGAATTGTAGCCTGATTTGATAAAAACTCATATTTTATTTACATATTTAATTTTTTTTATAATAAACTAGTTGTGTTTACTACGCATGTAATTATTATACTATCATTTGATTTAGAGTAAAAATGATGACTTATCGAAAAAAATCACAGGTTTTATGTAACAATTAACAAGATGATATTAATTAGATAATCAAATTTGTTCATTATAGTCTTATTATCTCAGCAAAAGTATTTGCTTTGAGATTAGAAGATACTACTTGTAAGTACCGATCTGATAGGGGATTATAAAGCAATAGCAAATATTTTCATTAGGTTCATTTCTATTTGTTTTATTGGAGAGCAAAATCAAAGGTAAGTCCTATCTGATTATAACAATTATTTCTATAAAATTATCATTACAATATGAAAATATAGTGACTTACGGTAAATAAATAAAAAAAAATAAGTAGAACTTTATAAACGGTATAAAATTGATTTTTAATATAAATATTTTTTACCACTCAGTTAATTAGATACCACGACGTTAGGACAAACAAATATCTGCGATATGGTCACAACATTTTTTAATTATTAACCTATGACATTACGGAAACTTTTTGCGAGCCGTATAAATAAAATGATTTCACTAATTTTTCAATCAAATATTTACTAATAGTGCGTGCAATCATGGGCGCCTCAATAACCGGGTTTTTGGAACACATGCCGTTAATTTAATAAGTATACAAAAAGGAAAGAAAAACGCATACAAAGACGATTAATAGTAGATCATTAAAAAAAATAGATGAAGACATTTACGGTTCAGAAGGAAAGATAGGACAGCATTCCCAAATTAATGATTAAGAGAGTTGCTTATATCTATAATAAAGAGATTCTTTGCGAAAGAATAACGTAGAGAGCAGTTATGGGTGAGATTACAGAACGTCTGCAACTTTGCAGATCTGCAAATATGGCCGTTACTTTACAGAAGCTCTGCAAATCTTACTTGCATCTGCAAATATCAGTTGCAGTTGCAAAAGAGAAACATGGTATTACAGAAACGTGTTTTGACTTTTTGATTCTGCAAATCCTCTGTAACTTTGCAGGAGGTTAGAACATCCTACAAACTTGCAGATTGTCAATTTTTACTTTACTTTTTTAATAACCATGAAGTCTTCTATTCCTTTTGATTGAATACAATTCGTGGTGTCAAATTATTGAGTTTTAAAATATAGTAATGGATTTGAGTTTAGTGTTGTTGGGGGTAATAAACCACAATAAATATTGCAAATTTGCAGATATTTTTTGGAATACGAAAACTTGATATTTACATCTGTAAGTCCGTCATATTTGCAGATCTGCAAAGTTACAGACGTTCTGTAATCCCACCCTAGAACTGGAAAGCCACAAATGTGTGGTTGGTCCCTTTACTTTGGTTTCCAAGGTTAATGTGAGATCGTGTTCTTACTTTGTATTTTTCAATTTCTCGTAATTTTTAGACAAATGTTATGACGATAGCTTTGTAGAGTCGGAAACTCTCAAGTCTCTCCCAGATTTCATAAACTTCTATTCACATTAATTGACTCTAATTTTTGATTAAATAACTAATTTGTTCTTTTTCAAAATCATATCTACTCTACCTGCATATACTTACAGAGTCTAGTATAGTGCTTTCGGTTTTTCTGAGATTGCAACCAGGTATCCCTCAAGAATCTGTTTTGGGCCGCTATTGAGTAAAAATAAATACATTTGAATGTCTATCTTACCTAGGGAAGGTAAAAAATGTATTTAATAAAAAGTAGTCTGATAAAAATTATTTTATCGATTACTCGCCCTCTAAGAAAAAAAATGAGACGCCACTGCTTTAGGGTAAACACATAATATTTTTATAGAGTTAGCTATTGATTTGATTTAAACGAAATAAAGTAATCATTGAGTAAGGAGTGCAACTTTGTTGAAGAAAAATTGCAAACTTTATGGAATTGTATTAATTTCATATTTAAATAAAAATCAATTATTTCAAAATATTTAATAGAAGAATTCTAGTTACTGTTAAATGAAAAAATGGTGAATTATAATATTATATATCATGAAAATGGAAGGTATGTACCTATTTATTGTTATTTATTTAAAAAAATAAATAGTATATTAACGATATAAAACTATATGTTTTCTGTTGACTACTTAGCTTTTATCTAAGGTTGACTATTAGTGTAAAAATTGATGTCACATAATTGTCGTGTCACAGCTTTCTTCGTAATATAATCATTTATAGAACAGGAACTATATCTTCCAGATTTGTTCCTGGCTATTGACATCTGCCACTTTCTTAATACTAATTAATGGTATGACTTCTACGTGGAGTGCCAGCAGCAATATATCGTTAATTTGATATTAGAGCTTTTGATGTTAAATTTATTTAGATAGGATTGTCGCAGAGATGATATGATATTTAAAACAACATCATCGTCATCCTGATCAAAATATGTATCAAATAAAATATTACAAACCTCCTCCATTTGTCATTATAAATTAAATTTGATAAATAGTTGTGCTTTTGAGATAAACTCAAGTAATTACGGCAAGAATGTCGTATTTTGATTTTAATTTAACCTATATTTTAAAAAGGAGGGAATTATGGAGTCTATATGAAGGTGTGAAGGTGTATTTACCTCACAAAATAGTGCTATTTTTTCTTCTTTTGCTTGTACCCGCCCATATGCTATTTTTTATTAAATGAATTGAAGTGTCAATAAAAATTGAAAGTAAATTTTCTCCTTGTTATGAACATAATTTAAAAACTATTCACTAAAGATGAGTGGGTTTGTTAAACTTACAAAATAATGTAATGCTTTAAGTGTCACAACTCTGTTTGTAGTCATTGTTCTCTGAGTACTTTTGGATGATTCTAATTCTGAAATCACACGAGTACCTTAATGCATTTTTTCTGGATTCCAAAAAATACATATATATGTACCCTAGTACATTAAAAGAACCAACTATGTTATAGTTTAAGGATTTTCATTATTATAACCTGTAAAAACCACATTTTATCTACATGTATTTATACAGGGTGTTATTGAAATACACGTACATATTAAAACTGGGTATTGCGCAGATCCCCACTGAATGTAGAAAAATATTATTTTTTAAAAATACCCCTTATTAAGGGAGTTATTAATGTTTGAAAATTAATTCTAAAACAAACGTACTTCACTGATATGTTGAGGATGACCTATATAAATTAGGTTTATTTACCTATTTTAAACATCAACAGTAATTAATATGCAAGTTTTTGTCAGATGATAAGAATACTAGTCTTGTAAGAAATAACCATTTTGCCAAGATTTTCGAATTAATTTCTATTTCCGAAGACTGGTTTTTACTACCCTCGTTATCAAAAAACTAGAATATTTGATAAATGATTGTTTTTAAACTATACATTTTTGAAACTATAGATTATTAAAATTTTAGTTGATTTACGAATCTGGCTAACACGAGCGCGTCATTTCCAAGTTGGTAAAAAGTGTTGTTACGATTACTTTTAAATATTTTTTTACGATGCCACTATTTACGAATATTGAACTAACGGATATAGTGCTGGTTTATGGGGCAGCTGGAGAAAATTCTCGGCAAGCACAAATCCTGTATCGCGAACGGTTTCCAAATCGGAGAATTCCGGACTGTCGTACGTTTATTTCAACTGTTCAGCATCTAAGAGACCATGGAAAATTTGAGAGTGTCAATGCAGATCGAGGGAGAACAAGAACACAAAGAACATTGGCGGCCGAAGAAGAAATATTGGAAGCTGTTAAAAACCGGCCTCAATTAAGTTGTAGAAGACTAGGTTTTGAAATTGGAGTGTCCTCATTTGTTGTGTGGCGGACACTTAAAGAACAAGGTTTACATCCTTATCACATCCAAAAAGTCCAGGCCTTATATCCAGGTGATGAAGAAAAGAGAGTGGAGTTTTGTGAATGGATGATTCAAAAATGTGTTGATATTCCTGATTTTCTAAAAATATTGTATACTGACGAGGCTTCATTCACTCGTGATGGCGTGTTCAATATGCACAATACGCATATTTGGAGTGATGAAAATCCTCACGCCATTAGGGAAACTGGGCATCAAAGAAAATTTTCAATAAATGTTTGGGCTGGCATAATAGATCAGTATTTAATCGGGCCTTATGTTCTCCCGAATAGATTAAATGGGCCAGGATATCTCCACTTTTTAGAAGATATTTTGCCAGTACTCCTAGAAGAGATACCGTTACAATTAAGGCAACGGATGTGGTACCTACTAGATGGCACTCCTCCTCACTTTGATTTAAACGTACGGCAGTTTTTGAACATTAGATTTCCTCAAAAGTGGATAGGCAGAAATGGACCTACTAAGTGGCCTCCGAGATCCCCGGACTTAAATCCATGCGATTTCTTTTTGTGGGGTCACATGAAACAACTGGTTTATAATGAACCTATTAATAGTGTTGAACAATTAACCAATAAAGTTAATGCGGTAGCCGAGGAACTACGACAAAATCCAAGACTAATTTCTAATGTTCAAAGTTCTTTGGAAAGACGATTGCAAGTGTGTGTAAATAATAATGGACGGCATTTTGAACAATTACTGTAATAAACTTTATTTTGAATTAATTGGTTTTGCTACGGCAACAGTGCAATTTCTATGGGTAAGTTCAATTTCGATTTATTTTACTTCTTTAAATATGGAAACTAGTAGGTCGGAAAAGGGGACTCTTCCCCAATATTTAAATTTTAGAATTTGAAGTTAAAATTGGTGCCAATCGTTTTTGGTCATTACATACTATTCCCCATTTTAATATGTACGTGTATTTCAATAACACCCTGTATATGGCACGAAATATTGGTATAAAACTTTTGTACCTAAAAGTATTAATTGGTCAAAAATATGTAAGAGATAAAACTAATATATTACTATCAAAAATACATTACTAAAAAATTCAAGAAACATAATAAACAATCAATTTTATATTGATCGAAAATATTCCATTTATGTTGTATGTTACGGTTACATAAAGTGTCTGAAGATGCGAAAAAAGCTTGTGTATTTTCAATATCAAAGGTAATTAGTGATAAAATTATTATTTTAAACAGCAATAAAATTTATCCCAAATAATTTATTCTTAAAAACATATTTATCTCATTTAGAAACAAATAAGCGATATAATTTACAAGAACAAATACCATTTAGCTAAAAGAAGCAACATAGGTACCTAGTAATAGATAGGGGTATCGAGAAATTAATATTCAGAATAATGGAGTTTGTGGCCTTAAACAAATAATATAAAAACGAAATAATACCAGGAAATAATTCCAACTTAAATATGAACCAAG